ACTCTGAGAAGTAAATGTATTTCTCAAGGGGTAGGGGAGTAGGGGTAGGGGAGTACTTCAGTGGTGGGATTCAGCCAGTTCGCACCTATTCGGGAGAACCAGTTGGTAACTTTCTAAGCAGTTCAGAGAACNCCCCTCCCAAGCAGGCCACAACAAAGTCTACCTCTCCTAAAATTGCCACGTTTGAAAAACACCGGTCTAGAGTTTGGGCCATTTTCTTCCTCCCCTTTTCCTCTCTTGGCCGAGCTTCTTCACATGCATCATAAGGGGTATTAACACTCTCTGGGCCCACCTGCTTTTTCTATCACTTTATTTGGGGAACAGATTCCAGATGAAGGAGAGCTGATCTGTTAGAGCCATTTTCTTCCAAACAGACGAGAGACGCTGGCCCTTCTGGAATTTGTCATTTGACCCACTTTCCCTCCATGCCAAAGGAGGAGGGGAGACCCTGAGCTCGCCCCACCCACCGCATTCAGGGTGCCCCCAATGGGTTGTGCCTCTCCTTGTGTTGCAAACATCTTATTTTTAAGCCGGTGCACGTCACTGAAAAGGCTGGGTGGATGCATACGTAAAGATAGACCCAGCTATGAAGCTGATCAGAAGCTTATTATGGCATCTTCTCTCGCTCTTTTCTTGAAACCGAGCTCAACAACATGGCATCTGTTAAGTTCAAAGCTGGGTGACGTGATTCCCCCTTTTGTGAACTTCCCAGCCGGCAAAGTCGATGGGAGAAAGTTGATTTGCTTAACAACCAAATGATTCACTTTAACAATGACAGTGATTCACGTAACAATCGATGGCAAGAAGATTGTGACATCGGTTGTGACTTATCATCTGTCTTGCTTAACCATGGAAATTCTGATCCTGATTGTGATCATAAGTCGAGCGAGAGATGATAGATAGGATAGATGGATGGATGGATGGATGGATGGATGGATGGATGGATGGATGGATGGATTGATGGATAGGAGACAGAGAGATGTGGATGATAGATAAGGTAGACAAAATAGGTTGTGAGTTTGATCCTAGGTGGAGGCAGATATTTCTCTCTCTGGGCACATTGAGAATATATCTGCTGAGGGCCATGCTTGATGTCACAATGACACGACATGCAACCTTGGGGCTCCAGGATTGCTGTCGATATCTCTGTTCCTGGACGGTCCTTTTGGACCTAAACTGTTNGGCCTGCAGTACTGCACCCTAACCACTGTGCCACCTCGGCTCTTATTATATTATATTATTATTATATGCACCCAAATTTTTATCCTCTTTTGAGGGGGGAGTAGTGTGTCTTATTTAGTATTTAGTTTGTTAAACATGTAAAAAATAACAGGTATAAGTATAAACGTAGACATGAATGAGGCAAATGAGTATAGATAAATGGAGATGGTAGGACAGGGATAGAAGGCACGCTGGTGCACTTATGCACACCCCCTTTACTCACCTCTTAGGAATGGGCTGAGGTCCACGGTAGAGAGTTTGAGGTTGAAGCTGGGGTGGTGGTGTTGGGGCTGTAACAATGGACTCAGGTAGAGCATTCCAGGCGTCGACCACTCTGTTGCTGAAGTTGTATTTCCTGCAATCGAGTTTGGAGCGGTTTACCTTGAGTTTGTATCCATTGTTTGCCTGTGTGTTATTGCAGTTGAAGCTGAAGAAGTCGTTGACAGGTAGGACGTTGTAGCAGACAATTTAGTGTACTATGCTTAGGTCAGACCATAATCGGCGTAGTTCCAGGTTGTCCAAGGCCAACATTTCGAGCCTGGTGGCGTAAGGGATTCTGTTGTGAGTAGAGGAGTGGAGGACTTTTCTCATGAAATACCTCTGGACACACTCAATCATATTAATGTCCGATACACAGTGTGGATTCCAGGCAGACGAGCTGTATTTGAGATGTAGCAGTAGACATCTTAATCCCATACATGTCATTTGTTAGGATGGTTTTGGACAACGTTGAGTAAACCAATGAAGATTGAAGTGGTTTGATTGGTGAAATTATAATCCATGGTCTACAAAGACTGGATTTACTCCAAACCCAGCTGTGGTGCCTGGGCATAATTTATCATTCATGATCACTTGATGGAAAGAATCTCTTTCTCCAAGGATCATGGAGAGTTAATGGGCACCATGGGCAACTATGAGGCAGCACAAGATGGCTTCATCCAGGTTTGCTTCAGAATTGACAGTCAATAGGTGCATTACTCAGAACGCTGACACCCTTCCTTCCTTCCTTCCTTCTTGTGTAGTGATTAGAATGCAGTATTGCAGGCTAATTCTGCCGACTGCCAGCAGATTTCGATTGGTTCAAGGTTGACTCAACCTTCCATCCTTCCGAGATTGGTAAATCGAGGATCCAGATTGTAGGGGGCAATAGGCTGACCCTAAACCACTTCATAGTAAAGCAGCCATGTTTGGATGACACTTCTTGGCATCCTTTCCAGGTTTCAGTTGTGCAGTTGGCATATTTGGCCCCAAAACAATCAGACTTTGTCTTTCCCAGGTTTGTAAGTAAACTGCAGTTGGTTGGCCGCCTCCATTGTGTTGTGCAAGCTGCAATGCCTGTTGGCGTACCACATGTGGTGCGCAGCTAGCCCAGCAGGATGTGTAAATCTGAGGCCAAATCTGACTTCTCCAATTACTGAAGATTAGTGCTAAACCTAGATTGCATTCTTGGGATACAGTGATAGAGCTCAAAGGCAAAAATTTGCACATCGAAGGAATGTTCCTGTAGTTGAAGGGCATTAGATGAATGGGTATTTCCCCCCAAACTTAGCAGCTTTAAGATGCAAAGTCTTCAACTCCCAGGATTCTCCAACCAGTATAGATGGACCTGAACTCCCAGAATTCCTCAGTTAGCATGAGTGGATCAATGTTCCCTCTAAAATTTTTTCAGTGTGAGCGGAAAAGTATAGTGTTTGAGCGGCACATTTT